ATGAGAACAGTGGAGTTATGCGGAGAATGAGGTATTTTAACTTGGCAACATTGTGTTACCGCCAGTTGCTTTATCTCTTTTCTCGTAAACATAGTTGCCACATTAGCAGTTGAATTTTTCGGGAATGTGTACTTGATGTATAGTAACACTGTTTAATTTGTTGATTATAACAATAACAAGTTAACAAAATCATAACATCATAACTCAAACCAATTCACAACTGTCATTTGCTGTTGTCAAATTAATTATTCACGAAATCCGATAGTTTTCACGTGATCACGTGTGGTCCTATTCACACGTGATGTGGATATAAGTGTTTGAGGTCGACGAAAAAATGTAATATGTACAGTCGAATTAAAAAAAAATGCGTAAAAGTATATTGGAGAGAGAAATTAACGTCATCCTATTTGCCTAAAACGGACTATCAGGAATGAATGTTTACCAAATGTTGACAGTAGAGTAATCATAGGTTCTTAAAAACACAAAGCATTGGCTGAGCCAATTTTACACAACGAGAACTAGGATTCCGAAATCTTTTATGTTTAATACTTGTACGCTTTTTTTTAATACGACTGTACCTCGTCGAAAAAGTGTCTATTGTCTCGCCTGATTGCTGTTGATGGCTTTTGTTGTGCTATAGTTCCGAAAAATGAGTCAATAATACCGTCTCCGAGAAAGAACTGCAAGTCCTTTCATCTTCCATTCGACTTCGCGGTTACGTATATTACTAAACAACCACTAATTTCGCAATTTTTCGAAATCAAATAATAATAATAATAATAATAATAATAATAATAATAATTTATTCACAACTATAAATATGCATAATACATTTCATAAATCACAGAATTAGACTGACAGAAGTGACATCACATATTTGATTGAATCAAAAGAATGATAAAGATGCCTACAACGCAGGTGTCCCTACTGTTAAAAACTTAGAATTTCACGTCGATAATTTTCATATTTCAAAATAATGTAATATCTTCTCAATATTGATTCGTCCTTTCTTCTGTCACAGCAAAAATTTGTATTATACACGGGAAAAATATTAGATTTTAGCTCACGGTTTTTTGTCTCTCTCCGCTACGCGTCGGGAGACAACACAACCTGGAGCTTAAATCTACTACTTTTTTCCCTTGTATAATAAATAACTATTTTAAAACCAATTCAATCAACTGTACGCTACAAAATCTAATATGCGACTGATGAATGACTGGCTTGATTCACCATCCTGATGACTAATTAGTTACGTCACCCTTCTAACCGGTTGATTCCCGAACAAAAAAATGCCATCTATATGACTAAAGTTGATATGTAAATATAGTTTTACGGGGGGGGGGGGGGGGGTGAAAAGAAATAAATATATTATTATGTAGGTTCAATAAAGAAAATACAGGGTCATTTTCAGTATATTATGGTGAATGAAAGAAACTGCTCAAGTACTAAAACTTCACAGTGCAAATGACATATGATGATTGTTAAATCAATAAATGACCCTGCGCGACGAAATCGAATGTGCGACTGACAAGTTCCTAGCTTGATTCATCATAAAATACTATCCAAATCACCATCCAATAATCATTTAATTGAATAGGAATTCATAACAAAAATGATCATCACTAATAAACTGCACGAGATAGGTATAGGTAGCTTACACACAGTTAAATGATAAAATGTCTCAACTTTTCAAATGAGTAATAATATGCATGAGAAAAAACTGAGTTTCAGTCATTTTCATGAGTTCCCGGAAGAAATATACTTCTAAACCTGCCTGTATGCTGAGGTCTGGTTCATAGGTAGAATATGTAATGGTCTTATGCATCTATGACCCTGTAGCAAAACAACATTGTCAACTCTCTCTTACCTCAGCCACCGTATAATTATGGTTTACGTGTCCACCGGGTATATTTTGCGATTTCCCTAATTCATTGTTTTTTACCGATTCGCACTTTTTATTGCAGAAGGTCGTCGCACCTGTCGAGTCAATCAGCTGTTAGGGCATCTCGGTCGTCGATCTCTTTTCCTTTTCTGTTGATATTATAAATATTATTTATCATCTGCCAGGCATAGGCAACCCTCGGCACAACCAAATGCGTGGATGGTTGCCTAACTCGAATAAGTTGACAGGTACTATTTTTGAATTTTGCTGTTTCTCTCGCACCTACCAGGTTGGTAAAAAACCTCGCAAAAACCTTTGACTTGTTCTGGAAGAATCTGTTCGAGTGTTGGTCTTTTTCAACAAATGGTTGTCCATCAGTGCGCGTCATGAATTAGAAACCGAATAATTAATCATCACTGCAAATTCTCTGTATAATTAGTGAATGCGAGTGGTTCCAGATTCGACTATCGGGATTCCCGGTATATTTGTCAATCGTGCCTGTATTTATTAGGTGAGTTATTAATCTTACTTTTTTTGATATGAAGCACGTGTTTGTGCTATGCCGGACTTGGTCCTGAAGCTAGTATTTATTAGTTTGCAGAATTGCATAGTGCCACTATAAACTTCCCCTTGCTCTGTATTCACCGGGGACGTATAGGGATCGTGAATTAAACCTGGTGTGGGTACCTCAAACAGAACCGGTCTTTTTTCTTCAAACCCCCTGAGAACCCCGTTTCACCGCAACCCGAAATACAATGTTTTGTGAATTTACATTGTGAGAAAATCGTTATTTTTCATGGGATTTTGCAAAAAAATTTACAAAATTTATTTCGCGAAAACTGTTACAGATAGGTATTGGGAATTATGATGACTCCAAAAAATGACAATATACGGGGTGTTCTATTACAAAGTAGTTACTTCTTTCTGATGTAAGCGGCAACTATACGGGGTATTCTATTTGAAATAACGAAGTAGCTACTTCTTGCTGATATAAGCGGCAACACTGTTTTGATAAAAAATCCTAAGACGTATAGAGCATGCTCGATTATCCACGTCCACAAATTTTTGAAATGATCTGTCGTGGAAAACATTTAAAAAAACACTTACCTTACGGAAAGCGGACAAGACTGAACAAATCAGCAAAGCATATAAACACACACACCACCTCTCATGCTTTCACATATTATGATAACACGAATAATGCAATATAATCACTTTAACTAAACGGTCAATTTCAATTTTTCTCTTGTAAATGATACGAACCACTTTTTAATCAACCGTATGCGATGAAATCGAAAATGAGACTGAGTATACTGCATGACTAATATTTGATTCACCATTCTAATGACTAAGTAGTTACATCACCCTTTAAACCGATTAATTCCCGAACAGGAATATCATCCACGACTATAGTAGGGTAAGTATACGAAGCGGTGAAATGAATTTAATATACAGTGCCACCAATAATATTTTCGATTTACAAAAAATAACTGAAACACTACAAGGTAAAAAATGAAAATTTGCAAAGCAAATCGCAAAGTTTCCGCAATATTTTCTTTATTGGTCTCATCAACATTATGATCTTGTTTGTTTTGTACTTGCACCTCAAGATTGATTGGCATGATCGGAACTGCAATATCTGCACGAAATTCAGGTTCAATTGGAATTTCAACATTTTTGAGAATGATATAATCATTATTAGGTATGGGCAATCCTGAGTCAGTGTTTGGGATGACAATGAATAATTTAGTGCATTAACTGCATTATTAATTTGTTGCCCAACTTGAACACTTCTGGGCGGATTGTTTTGATGATATGACCAATAAGCACAAACAAAAAATTAATGTGAACCAATGAAAACAAAGTAAACATGCCGCTTTGACAGATTTCAAGAACTTCGATAGGTGGCGTACACTTATTTTCTATCGCGAATCAACTTCATTCACGATACGAGACAAATCACTGAAAATATCAAAAAGGAGGGTTAGGTTAGTTGTCAAACTATAATTAATTATTCCTTGTAAACTCACCTCCAAATTTCAGATGAACAGTCTAGTGGCTTATCAGGCGGTAGTGAACTAATTTCACTATTCATGGCTATCAAACTTATTTAGTTGTTATTTGATTGAACAAAGTAAAGGGTATTCGCAAACAATAGATACGAACGACGACTAACAACTGGTGGAGTGGAAATTGATATCGAACAATTCCTTACAGTACAAAATACCAATTAGGTAGGGATATAGAACAACGTGTGACAGATTTGGTTGATAGAACATTATAATTCTGCAAACAATGGACAAGATAATTCCGGGAGGTAGTCAACAATTTTCGGATATAGTTCAAATATTTAGTGAAAACTACTTAATTGACCAAGATAACACTAGTTTGCAATAGTATATTGTATATCAAGATTCGAATGTTTCGTTTTGCAAGCGTTTGTTGGACGAGGGAGATATTGCGCGTATATTGTCGAGTTGAGCCTCCGGCTCTCCTCGCCAATTCTCGCGCACTTTCCCTCGAGTTCAACATTTGCAAACGAAAATTCGAATCGCGATATACATGCTATTTTTTGTATTAGGCAAGCGCAGCAGCGGACCACCGAACCTCATTTCAGAACCCTAACCCCTGCTCATTCTAACCATGAAATAACAACAGAATTGTGTCAGAATTATATGAAGGAAATTAGCAAAGAGAAAGTTCTCAAATATGTGCGGAGATTATTTAAGCAGCTCGGGCTGTGACAGAAGATTTATTGCCCGAAAACGTATTTGTTTGTTTTTCTAACCGTAAAAGTGTCAACCAAAGAAACGCCTAAAATGCTTTCGGCTCACACCTAATTTCGGAGCCTTGGCAACGCCCCGAAAACAACGCGTTGCGCTAGCCTTATACAAAAATGGATATAGAACAAGTATTTTTATTCTAATTTTTTTGCGGATTCAGTTCAGAAAGTACTGAATTGTGATTTAGAACAAGATAATTCTAGGGTGACGATATGTAAAGTTTTAGCTTTAGTGAGAAAACCTTGTGTTCCTTGTACCACTTTAATGGCAAATAAAGATCTGTCTATCTATCTATCTATTACTATCAATTTATATCAACGAATCGCATTTTCCAGCAAGTGGAAAAGTGCGCAGCCTACCCCCCCTACCCGCCGCAATCCTACCTGGGTCCGTACGCGTACCCGTTCCCGCCGTACTACGGCGCCGGCGTCTACGGCAGGGGGTACGTCGTACCCGCCGCAGCCTACCACCCCCACCACCACCCCCACGCGGCGGCGGCGGCTCTTCATCTGCCCGGTCGGCACGAGGCGGCAGGGGCGACCTGCTCGTGGTCGAGGGATGCCAGCGGGGGCGGCGATCGTCGCGAGGAGGCTGTCACAGGTAGGTGGTCGAGAGTCGAGACTGGTAGAATACAAGATCCATAGACATTATAAAATGAGGAGAGACGAAATTGTTCACATTTTGTCCCGAACCAACGTCGTATTCAGCAGACAATGACTTTATGCGTATTGCCCAAGATCTACCGCCTGTGTTCGAGGCAAGCATTTACACTAGCTGACCCGGCAAACGTTGTTTGGTACATGTTTCGTGCTTATATAATAAGACAGGTTGCCCAATAAAATTTCAGACAATCAGCAAAAAAAAAGTTACTTACGTTTTTTCGCATGAATTTTATAGTGAAAATGAACAAACCACTTTTACTTTATGGGGGACACTGCATGTGATCAGCTTGTTATCAAACAACTTGATTTATCTTATTACACATGGCACAGTTCTTATATACATGACTTCTTATTAGTGCAAAATTGGTTTGAACATAAACTGCTCACCGTCAACCTTGAAAAAACATGTTTCGTTCCATTCTACTGCAATAAATCCAATAAACCCCCCTTCGAACATCTCATAATGGATAATGAAAGGAATAGTAAAATTATCAAGTCAGTTGAACATGTCAAATATTTGGGTGTTTATATTGATAAACACTTAAAATGGGATATTCATATTCAATATGTTTGCAAAAAACTGAGAACGATATTATATCGATTTAAATACCTCGAAACGATACTACCTTACCACAAAATGAAGACTTTGTATCATGCACTTGTCGAGAGTCATTTAAGATATGCTATTGCAGCTTGGGGTGGGGCATTGAGAACTCACCTACGGCCAATTGAAGTCATCCAAAAAAGATTCCTGAAATTAATTCTCCGGAAAACAAACCGATATCCTTCAGATAAGTTATATACTGAAGTTTCTGTGCTAGATATTCGTCAACTTTTCTTCCTAAACCTAAACATTTACTATCACAGTAAAAACCACCTCTTCGTCTTACCGAATCATGAGCACAATACACGACGCAAACACCAACATATCATCCCGAAAATGAATAAATCCATAGGTCAGCGCTCATACAGCTACATGGCACCAAAAATGTTCAACACTCTCCCTATAGAAATGAGAGATATAGTGGATAAACATTCGTTCAAGAAAGCTTTGAAATCATTTATCAATGAGAAAGATCGAAATATCATAAATGATTATTTCAAGTGAGTTCCTTATAATTATTATAATTTTCTATTTATTCCAAATTATATGTATATATACACGTATGTTTGCTTTTTCGCATTATAAGCTTGTAAATCGCTTGTGTTTGTGTTTGAGACACACATTTTAAATTTAAGTTAAGATTATTATTTAGATATTTTAAATTGTTTTGAATATATTATATTTAACTATATAAATCAACTTCTCGAAACAAGTGATTCATCACTTATTGAGTATTGTTATTTATTTATTTACTACATTTTCTATCATTTAGGCATATCCATTGTATTTCTGTAAATGAATAAATGCATTATTATTATTATTATTATGATCGTCAAGGTTCGTATCCTACCGACTGCGCCAATTGTGATGAAATGAATAAAACTGTTTGGGAATATTTTTTTATCTACCACCAATACGTATTGTGAAAAATACGACGCAGAAAAAACAATATTTATTTCAAATGTCAGTTTTTTACTAAAAAAAAATGAGAACTAATTCATCATAAATTTAACAGGTACTAAAGTTTGAATTGCTTCATTTGTGGCAATGTCTGAATCAATCAGAAAGTTCAATTAAGTTAAGCTACCTTGTATAATTTCGAAAATACCAAAAAAGTACCAATCAGAAATTTAGAATTATTTCCATAGTAACCAATTCATATTGTTACCTCCAAATGAAGCATGTCGTTAATTGTTGACGTTCGTCCAGAACTACCGGAATATTTTGAAGTACTTATTGCATTACTACTACTACTACTAATGTATTACTACTACTATTTCTCAAGCTAAAACGCGTCAAAGTTGACATTTGCAGAATGAGTGACAACCGAGAATACAATAGATTGATTGATGGATTGTTTTTAGATTCACGACAAGTATATGCCCAAACCTTGTACATATTCCTACTAATAACTCAAGGAATATTAACTATGTTTGATTAAATAATTAGCGTTTTTGGTAGCAGGTGAGATATTGTACTATATTCGTAACGTCAATTCATACTGTGATAATCTATGAGTTTGACAAATTTTCATCTCATATCATAATATGAACCTTCAGGATACTAGTATTGTAAATATCTTTCTCGAAAATCGTATTTTTGGCGAGGAAGTACTTCTTTACAGTACAGGACTGATTGGAGAAATTAATCACTCGATCCTGCAGGAAAATTATTTGATGGAACTTCTGCTTTCCTGATCCATTCTATCCATATTTTCTTCGGTCTTTTCTTTCTGTGACTTCAGATCTCTTATTTTAGTTTCCATGGTTTACATTTTATTTTCATAGTCTGATTTTAGCTCAGTATAATTACTCTGAAGGTCCGCCACTGCCACCTCTAATTGCGATAATTTCTTTTCGATTGTTTTAACGACGGCTTCAGTCACATTGCTCACAATGGTTTTTATGAAGGAATCGTGTTTTATACATTTGTTAACAGCATGCCCAACTACCGATTCAATTTCCTCACTAATTTCTCAAGTCAAAACCATATTTTTGATTTCTAATTCACATCGGAATTCTGAAATTCATAATCATGAAACTAGACAATATAATTTGTTCCATCTTGACGCCGCTAGCTCCCTAATCGGACAATAAAGATTCACTCATTCAGCCTTAACTGAATTCAATAAACTACCTGATAATATAAAAAATTGCAGAAATATAGGTATATTCAAAAATGAAGTAAAAAAACTGATTATTTCTCAGCGGACTGGATAAAATTAATCATGCCATTTTTTTTTTACAAATATTATTCTTTGTTTGCCAATTTACAGTTGTTGATATATTTTGAATGATGGTATGTTTACCTATAGGTATATAATTATGTACTTCCTTATACCAGAGCCTATTCTGTCTGGAAGTTATTCGTTCAATAAATAAATAAATAAATAAATCGCAATTCACTTTTGAAGAGTTACACTTCTGGCAAGAAATAAATAATTTTTCAACCACTTCAACTCGTTTTATTAGCTTTATTTTGAGGAGCTCGGTTGACACATGACTATTCTGTTCTCGCCATAGACGTAGATAACACTGTAATATATTGTTTGTTTCAGATATGCCACTCAACTTGTCCAAACATGCTGGTTGATCCACTGTATGCCTTTTGACAAAAAATGTACATTTCCACAAGTTTACATCAATTATTCACTCAAATCGATGATTAGTCCAACGGTACACTTCTTCAAGTTATAGATCAAAAGAATTGACTTGCTGTAAATTCAGGAGTCTGGTCAATGATAGTGCTTTCAAAGCCCAAAGTGGAAGATTCTAGCTTTAAAGCATTGGTAACGTGCAATTGACAGCTCTACAAGCGAACAACTGTAGATAAATAGGTGTATATACAATATAAGATATTTTGTATAGATCACTTTTGTATTATTTTTATATTTTGAAAAAATACTTGATATGAAAGAGAATCGCATCTACCATTTATGGCGTGGGTGAATAAATATTAGTGATTTTTTCAAACTAATATTCCTAACAGATGAGCAAAGCTAAAGTGTAACCTTTATGTTCATCTGATAATGGAAATCTGATGATTGAAAAGGGAAAAGCTGGTCCTTGATTTACATTTTATTCAATATTTTTATTTTTGAAATATTCAGGGTTAGCAATGAGAATACAGGGTGTTTCTTAAGTACGTGTAGAAAATTCAGGAGCATGTTGCTGACGTCTAAATAGGAAGAAAAAATCGTATAAACATATGTCCAAAAGTTTCGTTTCTGAGATACATAGTGTCAAAGTTGAATTCTTATTGGAAGAGTTCAAAAAAGCAGGTACAAATAAGTAAAAATCATATTTTGCCTTCATTCCAATATTGAATGAAAGAAGAAAAATGCACTGGTATATCTTTTCTGATATTCACTAGAGGCGACTTATCCCAATAACTCGAAAACAGTTGCTCGCAGCGACCTCTACCAAGAATATATTTTTTCTACAAACGTCAGTAAAAGTATAATTTTTGACGCATGCTGTCAGTGTCTAAAATGTCAGTTTATGACACTGGTGTTGAAAGTAAATCACTTTTAGTGATTTATTTTCATGAGAAAATATGTAAACATAGTTCAAAATGAAGTGTTAATTCAATTAAAAGTACAATTAGCGAAACTAAAATTATAATACGAAACTCCATGGCCAGTCTCATTGGTAGATGTGACAGAATTTATTTTCGTGAATTCAAATTCAAATTTGTCGATTTATTCTCTTGTCAATACTTTTGACTTTTTCGGTCGATATCCTTCACCCTTTCGCTTCAAAAAAGCCACAAGTTTGTGATATCTGCTTATGTCATGATCATTTATGTTCATCATCGACATAGAGTAATTCGACCAAAGCATTGACGATTTCCTTATTTTGGACTTTTATTCAAAGTATGCAAGAAGCACTTTTTCACTGGCCTCCTTTCCACTGACATTTTTCTGATCACACCATTTCAAGAAACGTTCGTATGAATACTCGTACTGTCGCTTTGACTTACTAGGCAATAATTCAAAAACAGCTTCATTGGCAGCTTCTTCAATTTGCGGCGGAAGAAATTCATTTTCTTGGGCACTTTCCATCGAGGATCGAAGAAACGAGAAAGAATAATTCGTGATTTATTGACGTTAGTTGTCAAGAAAGATAAATCAACAAATTCAGTTTTTGTTTACCTTGGTAACTAGTTTCATGAATAGATTTGATTGAATTGGATTCAAAACTGATAATCTCGAGGCTGTTATTTAATCAATTAATAAGTAATGTAAAATAGTTATGCGTTAATTTGGACTTTTAATGGTGTTTATAGAAAAAATAGTGTATGATATATGGGCTAAAAGTGTTTTTTCTTTTGTTCAAAGAGATGGAACAATCCCCTACTTCGGCGTCGTGTCCCAAGCTTCCCTTCTCACAAAATAAAATGTCACTTTTAGCACTTATATCATAAATAACTATTTCACACAAAAGTGTTCTAGAAATCTATTTTTTTACTATGAAACGTTATACAGGTATGCACAAAAAAGTTATAACTTTTCAGAAGACTCAAAAGACATGTAGGTGGTGCCACCCCCACGAAAGAGACAAACTAACATAAAAGTTGATATTCTCATTGAAAATTACCTCTAGATACCAAATTTTATTCCGATATCACAATTATTTTGAAATTCATTAAAAACAAAAATAAGAATTCAACTTTGACACTCTGTATCTCAGAAACTTTCGGACATATATTTATACGAACTTTTCTCCTTATTTTGACGTCAGCTACAAGCTCCTGGATTTTCTACACGTACTTAAGAAACACCCTGTATATATAAAAATGTCAAGAACTAGAAACAAAGAGAATATCATGGAAACCATCCATCCTTCTCCTTGGACTTAGTGTTTGTGTTTTTTCCTTTGAAAGAGAATATCATTTACTATAGAGTGTCCCACAAAAGCGTTGAATACTCAACTGGTAATTGATTTCATTTTCACATTTGTATTTATTCACCTACTCCAAATCTTTCAGATGAAAACGGTTGGAAACAGTCGGAGTGTAGATGTATATAAACGCTTTTTCAATATGTGTACATAGTATGTCAAACATATCATCATTTCATTATTTATTCGAAACAATTCAGTATGAATATATTATTGTGGAATGGAAAGACATTATGGAATGATAAATCTTCTCTTTTGACTGCCAATATAGTTGAAATTAATTGTAGATTTGATGTTTCATTGTAAGGCTTGAGTAAAAAGGAGGCAGACATTAAAATGCAGGCATTTTTGTTATCTCAACTTTTCTAGGGGATTCAATTAATTTCGACAAATACAGTGTGACCCACTTAAGACCGCAGCACCCTTATAAAATCTATAGTTTTCAACCGATTTCTTTTTTTTTTTTTTCGTTTCAGCAGGAGTACTATCCAGAAATCTACGTTGACACAAATTTGCAAAATAACATCTCAATCTACAGGGCATACATGTTATTTTTTCATGTAAAAAATTGCGAAATATCATTAGCGATTTTTTTTGTTTGAGTTTTTGCGTTTTTTCTCAGGATTTATTGTACTAAAAAGATACGACAAATAAATGAAATGTGGGGATCTTTCCCATAAAGCGAACTTCAACCTTTTTTGGCCATTGTGTGTGTCCGTGAATCAAATTTGGCGTAGGTCGTGAATATGTGCTATTCCGGCCCTGTACATTCATAGGTATGGAATTAAAAAATATACCGACTCCCCTTATCCTACCTTCCGTAGTTCATCAGGCTATTCAAATATTTTTGAAAGGTTCTAATTCGCCTATTTACTTATATTTTCCTATCATGAATGGAAAACATTCTAAATACGAAGAAAATTCGTATTTTATGATGCTGCAATTTTGGAAATGGTGGTTTTGTTTCTCTGGCTCCGAACTGAATAGTTCATTGAGAAATTTAATTCAAGTTGAAATACAAGACTGACGTAGAATTATATTTTATTTATTTCTAAGGCAGTCAAGAGCGTTTTGTTATTTTTCATTCCATTTTTTGTGAGAATAACATGCATTTAAAATGTTTCTAATTTCTAACTATACCAATAAACATTTATATAAAACAAACTATATTTTCATATGAACTGTAGAAAGAAGGATTCAGGTAATCTTTAAAAGACAATAGATAAGTGTTAGTGTAACATTTTGATTGATGGGCCCTTCATAGCATATTTTCATGTAGAAATTATTTATTTTCCATACCCGTCTTTTGAACATTTTGTAATTTGATGAGTTATATTATCTGGAGATGGAGAATTATGACAGGCCTGCATTGTGATATGAAATATTTTTCTATATTTGAATCAGTCCGTCTTTTTTAACTGAATATTCATACCTGAATTTTTTACCGATTAAGCTCTGAAATTGTAATGTACATTGAAATATAACATTTTGGTAGCATTTTCGACGTTTTATTTCTATTTATTGACAACGTCACTGCTGTCTGCTATTTTAGTATTCTGTGCAACTATTTTAATCAAATTGGTTGAAAATTACACTCGTTTTCAGAAAGCTACAAAATTACACCTATAGCAATTTAATCAACATTCAAGGCAGATACCAATACATGACATACTTTATACATTGAAATAACACCTCAAAATTTGAACTCCTTATACTTCTTGGTTTGTTTGGTATCCTGTTGTTGTCTCTTTCGTTTACTCTGCAAATAAAAAACTCATGTTAATGAATATTTTTCGACTCCAAAAATTGAAAAAAAAAAGTCCTGTAGTTGAATAAAACATAATAGTAGTTCATTGACTTTTTCGAGCTAACCAGCATATGCAAATATTTCTTATTCTCCATAACAAAATATCATGTGAATTTTGGAGATTTGACAATATTGTTCTGAATTATGAAAACTTACTAGACCACGCCCACCGCCATGTTGTCACGTTCACAGATTCAAATGTCCTCTAGTGTGAATTAATATAATTATTATTCACACAAATTTATTATAAGCAATAAGCCACAAATCATAAGGGAACATTTAGACACAATTAAATTTTTACTGCTAATTAGGAATATTACCCATACTCAATTGAGAATGTATGAATTATTGAATAACTAATATTTCTGAAGTTCCCAATCGTAGTTCAACACATGGCAATGAAATTATTCAGCAACTTTATACATCAATGCATTCAAATTTTGTAAAGCAGTAGCAATTTTTTTGCATTGCAGGAAATGGGTCCGGACCTGTTTTTATTGCGGGACTTCGTTTTGCTGGTGTAATTTTAGTGCTAAAATCGTGGATTCTCGTAATTTCATGCATTATTTATGCAAATTGAATCCTACTGTTCACATGGTTTCTTCTATCCAGCTCAAAACGAAAGGTGGATTTATGCAGCAACATTCAACAATTATTATCAAGTAACATTTATCAATCAACAACTATAAATTAAGAGGTGATGGGAATATTGACATTTATGCAAACCAAATTAACAATTATTAATGAATCAATAGTACGCAAGCGCACATGCCCTAAATCTGGGCTATCAAAGCATAACCTTACAAATTTTTGTTTACAATTTACATAAGGAGCTAAAATTTCGAATTTCATAATGTTTTCTGATATGGAAGAGACTGGGTTACTTTTATTCACAATCATTTTGTTGATTGCAATTGTTTCCTGTAAAACCAAATTTCATAACATTTGTCGGATATCAGGCATTGGTCTGCCCAATCCATGCCTTCTC